GATTTTTTTTTTTTTTTTTTTTTGAGACAAGGTCTCACTATATAGTTGAGACTGATCTGGAATTCACTATGTAGCCTAGGCTGGTCTCAAACTCACAGCAATCCTCCTGCCTCAGCCTCCCGTGCAGATATCTATTAAATGCAAACTGGAAAGGAAGTAGTGATGGCAGACAGCTAAACTGTCATAGCAGCTCCACTCCTTGCTACAATGACCAGAGTTATCATCAACCAAACATGCCGAAAGTGACTGCTCTCTACCCTGCAGCAGCTGTGCCCTGCAAGAGGGAAGAGCCACAAAGATTGGTATCCAGACACCAGCCTGAACACAGGCCCGCAAAGGGGGCTGGCAGGCAGGGAGAAGCAGAGCTAGTGAGTCAGTTACCGTCCTTGTCCAAGTCTCAGCTACCATGTTTGGTTACCATGTTTATAAAAAGAGAAGACTGGGCCCAATGGTTTCTAAGCCCCTTCTGCTCATCCTTCAAGCTAGTGCTCCTACTCTGCAAGGTGTTTTCTGCTATGCTTTGGCCAAGCTGGCTGGCCTACTCCTATATGCTCCCAAGACCTCACAGGCCTTCAATTCTGAGTTACCATTAGTGGGATCCTGGAAGGTCACAGTATTCCAGTCTGTCCAGATGACCCTCCCTCTAGACTGGAAGCCGCTCAAGGGAGAAAGAGGTACGGCTCAACTCTGAATCACACTGGCTCCTGAATTCTTCCAGCCCACGTGTGACACACATCAGGGGCTCAGGGAAGGCTTGTGGAATGCCTGCAGATCTTGGTGGCTTTCCCAAGCTCTTCCCAGGGACAGGGCCCCCAATCTATTTGTTCAGTGTGCTTTTCATTGGCATGAGATCAGGAAAGGGAGCCAGCAAGAGTACTTAGTGTGGGTTCTCATAAGGGTCTGTGAAGGATGCCAGGAGGGAGAGTGGGTGATATGACTGGGTGGTTGTTGGCCGAATTCGAGGACACACCCAGCTGCATACTTCATCACGGCTATTTCTGCCTGCGTGCGACTTCTTAGCCCCCACTCTTGAACTGGGCTTAAAAGGGGTGTTGGGTTACGGTTGCTCTGCTCATAGGCTAAGGCTTACCTGTTTCTCTGCCCTAGACCACCACCACCTGATCAGACGATAACTGTAGCAGAGGGTAGCCAGAGGGTAGCTGTCACCACAGCCTGCTGCCCTGGCCACCAGGCCACACCTTTCTTTTCCCTCATGTCCCACTCCTGACATTCCCAAGACAGCAGCTCTCATTCTGCACCACCCCATGGAGATAAGGCCTTATCTTGGCCACCACCCAGGCCCCCTTCTGAAACCAACTCCCCTTGCCAGGTGGAGAAAGAAGGAATGTCGGGCTCAACCTGGCAGGGTAGCTGAACCATCCTTGGTATTATTTAACGGCCCTACCCTCCCCAACCACCAGATAAGCTCTAATCTTGGCCGGGCTACCTCCGTCTTATGGGTATATAGCAAAGCTCTGGGCCCCACTGCCCCATGACCCCAATCTCACAGCTCTACTCTCCAGCACTTTGAACCCCATTTGCTAAGCCTGGATGCCCCATCTACAGCCACCTGTATGTCAGGCCTCAGAGAAAGGCATGAAAGAAATGAAGCCCACTACGTCCTCACCAGTTCAGGGCTGAAGGTCCTGCATGCTACAGAGTCAGCTCCCTGGTTGGCAAGGCTTCTCCTCAGGATCATCACCATGGTAAGAACCTCAGGTGCTGGGCTGCATCCCAGGGTTGGCGGGAGCCATCTTCAGGTAGGCAGAACTGGGCAGCAGTGATGCCTGGGCACCCCCAGGGGAATGTTATCAGTGGAAACAGCTGCCCATTGGGTCCCTCACCCTTGGGATGGCACCTCTCTGGGAAATGGCCAAGCGTGGTCAACTCCCTGGAAAGACAAAAGACAGGCAAAGGGGTTCAGGACTAAGAAAGACACAGACCCTGAGAAAACAGCCCTCCACCCCACGTCTGAGGACCTTATGGGAACAAATGGGAGCCTCCTTACTAAACAAAGTACATTCTGAAAAGTCACCAGTCTAAAATCACTTTCTCAGAAGCCCCCCCACCTCTTATGACAGCCTTGAGCCTCCCCACGTCAATATCCTATTGAGTGGTACAACAAATTCGGATCCATCCACACAACACCTTTAAAATGCATCTTAAGGTCTGGCTGGCTAACAATCTCAATCCCTGCCATGTGCTCAAAACATGTGACATTGAGCTGGGCATGGTGGTGCATGCTTGTAATCCCAGCACTCAGGAGGCTGAGGCAGGAGGACTGCTACACACTTGAGGCCACCCTGGCCTATATAATGAATTCAAGGCCAGCCTGAAATACATAACTTCAAAAAACAAAAACAAACAAACAGAAAAAGACATGTGACATCTCACTATGGAGCTTTACCGGCAGTTTCAGCAATACTAAGACAAGTAAAGACAGGCTAAAGGTTGAAACACGCGTTATCTCCATGTTCAAAACTGAAGGGGGCAGCACTCAGGCAGCAGAGGACCTACAGGTGGCACACTGCTCTCCTTCTCCACCCCATTATGAGGAGAAGCTACAGGAAGAATCAGAAGGCTCCATTTAGAGTCACACGTTTCCTGTTCTTGGCAGTGCCACATTTCAACATATTTGCAATATATTTCAATATATTTGCAGCCCTTGAGGGTCTTTGTAGCTTTGTCCTCTTCTCCAGAATAAAACACTGAGTAGACTTTCCACAGTGACAGGACCCCCCTCAACATTGCCATTCCACACAGCCAGTCACTTCCTCCTCCCTAGTTTACCATCATTTCCTATGAAGCAAACATAGCCTTTACTTCAGGCTTGAAAAATTCCTCTTTAAACATTAATTCTCTGATCCTAACTCCCCCTCCCACCCTTCTGTAGTTAAACATCCAGAGAAAGTCAGGCTTTGTCAGGATACAAGGAATGTGAAGACCACCATCAAAAACTAAAAAATAATGACAATAATAGTAATAAATAAATAGAAAGGCAGCTCCTAACCTATAATTAAAGACAAACTGCTCAACACAAGAAAATGTTTTAGAATCTTCTGCTCTATGTAAAATTAATTGCACCTTGGTATTTACTTGCCATCCAGATTATAAATCATATTTTCCTATTTACTTCGATTAGACTTTACAGTGGGTGTTAGTGAAATTGCTCAATTACAGGCCAGCTGGCAAGCACAGGAAAATTACCTTCTACTGTTCTTCGAAAACAGGTTCATCCAAAGTGCAAAAGCAGGGAAGGGGAGGAGGGAAATCAATATATTTCCAAAGCCTGGCTGCTTGGGAAGCGAGGCCCAGGGTTTGAAGACTCCTAGGCTGCACTGGGAGACCTGACATGCAACTTCAATACCATATCCGTCTGGAAACAGCGCGTCCTAACCGACTGTGAGCTGTTCAGGGAAGGAATTCCAGACCACTCCTCTAATTTCTGGCTAAACAGCTGAGCCAGAAATGCTGGTTGGCTCCCTGGACACTTGGCTCAGGAACAGGCCAGGAGGGGTGCTCCTGAACTCAGCCTTCAAAGGGGTCCTTTGTGCTGCCTCGGTGGCGAAGGGCTGATGGCAGCCATCGTCCTTCTGGGTGTGAGTCTCAATGCAGTTGTAGGGCAGCCAGTTGTTTGCACAAGGCCTGGGAGGGACCTGTCCCCCCTCCACTTCCTTCTCTCCAAAGGAGGCAGGTGGGTTTGGTAGTTAACAAGCTCAGCTCCTGAGTTAAGAACTCCTGAGTTGGGATCCTATCTCTTGAGATACATTTTTTGAGGAACCTACACCAAGTCACCTACTCTCTGAATGTACATTTCCTTCTATAAAATAGAGACAGCAGTGCCTGTCTCATAAGATTATCATATCCTACGAAAGGTCAAGCTCTTTGCTCAGGACTCAGCTCATTTTTGAAGTGCTCAGCAAACAGTACTTGCTACTTTTAGTTTCATGACCAAGCATGAATCAGTTCTTTTATCAGCAATGGACACCTAGGCGGCTACCCTCTCAAATCTGTTTAAACTCCATCACAGCTGTGCACAAAGAAGGAAGCTGGACCGAGGCAGTTAAGGGCCCCCTGACTCCCACCAGCTCTGCTTCTACCATAGCCCCTACAAGGGGACTAGGACTGGCAGAGGGAGCACAAAGGATGATATGTGCTGACAGGTACCGTAGCACCATAAACTCCTGGGTGCGTGGGTGGTCAGAAACTGACTGCAAGTGCCAAAAGGAGGAGGGAGGAATGGCACCATCCCTGCCCTCAGGGCTCTTGTAAAGAGTGCTGGGAAGCAAGCACTAGCAGGCACTACATAAACCGAAGGGAGAGGGAAAGGGCCATTGGAGGTAGATCTTTTTTTTGTTGTTGTTGTTGCTATTGTTGTTGTTGTTTGCTACCAGGGATCAACTCAGGACCTTGCACTTGCCAGGCAGGCATGGCACTGCTGAGCTTAAAGAGACTCCTCTGCACAGGGGCCAAAGACACACGGTATATAAGAGTACATTTTCATCGACCAGGGATTGGTTAAACAAGCTACAAGGTAGATTTGTAAAGAACACCATTATGGCCTTCAAAAAAGTTTCAATGCAGCAGTCAAGACATGCTGTGGAGAATGATGTACATACCAGCAGGTGACACACAGGGAATGGGGAGGACAACAGGACAAGGAACTGGAAAGGCAGATTCAACCAGACCACAGGCTCTGAAATCCATACGAAATGCAGACCTTAGCCTGTAGCTGTGGGGAGTCCTGAAGGGGTTTTGAGGTTAGAGTTGGAGGCTTTGATCTATCTGGTAGAAGAGAGTTTTTTTCTTCCCTGCACTCTTTATAACACCTAGCACAGTGCTTTGCACAAGATGAGAGTACAATACACATTTCTGGAATTCTGCTAAATCATAGCAACATCTGTAATGGCCAGGGCACATTCACAGACCTTGTAAAGCTAATCTCAACTGGCAGAGCTGGGAACAACCTGGAATTCTCTGGGATTCCTTTGATCTGTGACATGGCCCTGGCCAAATTCATTGGGGAATGCCAGGCCCTGTCCAGAGACTTAGACCAGCATATGAATAGGGCAAGGGTCTTCTCAGAGAGTTATGATATGGCCTCAGAAAGAGCAATAACTAGGCGATCCCACTGTGGGATGGAGGTAGGGGGCCTGACCAAGTCCTCCCCGTGGTCAACCCAAGAGCATAGCATGGTCTTTGCTTTTTTTTGGTCCATTTTCCCTGGATCTGTATTAAGAACCTCTCTGGGAGGTTGAGGCAGAAATATCACAAGTTCAAACCCAGCCTGGGCAACTTAGTGGCTTAGCAGGACCCTGCCTCATAATAAAAATTTAAAGACAGGATATGCAAGGTGTCAAGGTCCTGGATTCAAAACCCAGTACCTTAGGAAAAAAACAATTTCAACAACAAAAACAGCCTCTGGACAGGCTTGGTGGCACACCCCTTTTGTAATCCCAGTACATAGGAGGATCACAAATCTGAGGCCAGCCTCAGCTACATAGCAAGATTCTGTCAAAAACAAGAACTGTCACCAACAGCTTCCATCTACTGAGCACTGCTATGGTTTGTTCCCCAGTGGGTTTATGTGATGGAAGCTCGGTCCTCAGGGTGATGATGTTAAGAAGTGGGGAGAGCCTTAAGAGGTAGGGCTTACTCAAGGTCACTAGGTCTCACAGGGAAGCCGTCCTGAGGAAAACATTAAGGTAGGTTGTGTTATTTTGTTTTGTTTTTTCCCAAACAGTCGCAAAATCTTATTAAAAGTAGGAAAAGAAACAGGCTCTGCAGAGTGAGTTTGGGCCAAGAAAAAGTAGGAAAAGAAGTGCACCCTACAGGGTAAGGGTGGGCTACCACGAAGAGGCACAAAAGCTGTTATTAACCACCCGCCAGCCACTCTGGCTTTCTGTCTCACAATGTAATCTCACCCTCTTATACACACTGTGATGCTACTGGCCATGAGGTCTTTACCAGAACTGAGCCAATGTTAATGCCATGCCTCAGAGATGAGCATGAAATACTTTTTCTTTATAAAGTTACTCAGACTCAGGTATTTCACCGAAGTAACAGAAAATGAATATTGCAAGCCCTTACTCCATACAATGGACCCTTGAGTTACGTCCAGCCTAACATGCAAATGACTTGGGTTACAACCAGACTTTTAGTTTTGACTTATGAACAAGGTCTTGCATTACAACCTGAACTCCGGCTGCTTGTGCTTCCTTCCAGATGGTCCCAGATACAGATTTAACGCTTAAAGAGTTCTAGAAGGAACATCACAACATTCTTTCCTGTGTAGGGCTGAGAAATCCTGGGCCAATGTCTCTTTAAGGACACTGATATCTACCTAGGTACAGCAGAGAGACTTTGAAGGCTGTGTACAGGAGCCTGAGCCTTCAATTGACCAACCTGAGTTACAACCAGCCCTTGCTAACGAATTGAGTTTGTAAGTCAAGGGTCCACTGTGCCAGGTGCTTTAATGCATTAGCTACAAGGCAAGTCCAACTGTCCCCAATTTACAGCAATTGTATTGATTTCATTTATATTGTATTATTTCACATATATTATTGAAATGATAAAACTGTAGAATTAGAGAACAGAATAGTGGTTAAAAGAGGATTTAGATGAGGTTTGGTTAGAAAAGGCAATAGGAGGGTCCCTGGCAGAGATGGAAATATTCTGTCTTGACTACACTAGAGTCAATTTCCTGCTTATGCCTTTGTACTATAGTCTTTCAAAACATTATTATTGGGGGAGATTAAGTACCCAAGATTTATCTGTATTATTTTATTTACAGTGGTACCTTGTATGCTTTCACTGGTGAACAATTTGGCTTGCCAACAAAAGCATTTGGCAAAATTTTGTTATTTGCAAACTCTACATCAGATGACGAACACAGCCACAGCCACTT